GGGAGAAAGAGAGAAAAACATCAATGTGCAGTTGCTGGAAGCCATGGCCTACAACCCGGGCATGTGCCCTGACTGGGAATCAAACCTGCGATGCTTTGGTTCGCAGCCTGCGCTCAATCCACTGAGCTATGCCAGCCAGGGCTGATTTTAGAACATTGTTATCACCTCAGAAAGACACTCCCCACCCTGTGGCATTGCCCTTGCCCCTAATCTTCCATGCCCCTACTTTCCTGCCTCAGGCAGGCAGTAATCTACTTCCTGTCTCCACAGATTTGTCTGTTCTGGACATTTTGTAAGAATGGGATGATAAAGTTTGTGGTCCTTTGTGAACGGCTTCTTTCACTTTGCATGGTGCTCTCAAGGCTCATCCATGCTGTAGTACATCTCAGAACTTTATTCCTTTTAATGACTGAATACCACCACATTTTTATTTATCCATTTGTCAGTTGGTAGACATTTGGGCTATTTACACTTTTTGGCTTCTGTGAGTAATGCAGCTCTGAACATTCACATGTGAGTTTGTGTGTGGACGTATGTTTTCATTTCTCTCGGGTCCACACCTAGGACTGGGATTGCTGGGTCATGTGGTAACTCCACGTTTAACTTTCTGAGGAACTGCCAGGGGCACATCTTATGTTGCCTTTTCCCTTTTTGTATTCTGGAAATTTCCTACCACTGAAAGCAGAGAAAACACTAATGATCACCCCGTACTCATCAACCAGGTTCAACGATCGTCAACCTTTTGTCAGTGTTGGTTCTTCAGCCTTTCCTCCTCCACTTTGTTTCCCACTAAGAAATTGGAAACCAGTTTAATCACCGCACTTGGTTGAGAGGTTAACATTTTCTTTTGCCTCAAACCTTCAGTTCCAGTCTTCTATCCCCACATACTCCCACAAGTGTGGGAGGAACTTGGGGAGAATGGAGGAGTTGGGGCAGAATCTAGAGTGGGTAAATGTGGGGTGGAAGAGGAATAGTTCCTGAGTGAAGGAGGACTAGCCACATAATACACAAAATGAAAGTGTAGAGCCCTTTATTCAAAAATTATTAATAAGTTTGCGATGATAACAGCAGAGCACAAAAGCAAATGTTGGCCCTGGGTAACCGCACAGGTCACGTGTCCATGAGCCAGCAGAAGGCTTCCCAAGCAGAACCGATTCATTGGACACAGGAATTTAGAGCCTTTGGTGCCCAGGAGAGACACAGGCATCCCTTACTGCCGATCCCTGGGAGGGGTCCAAGGACAGCCGGGTCTCCCATGGCATGTGGGACAGGGCTCAACCCCACTGCATTTGAATCTCCAGAAATAAGATGACCCCAGCTGACACGTAGGCTATAAGTCCTTTAAAAAAATAGCCATTTGTCTTAAGCCTTCTTCCCTAAGAGCCTACAGTTGTTTGAGTTGGCCGTACCGTCCTGCCCTGGACTCTGAGTGTACTTTCATATCACAGCAGAAGACCAGGCTCCAGTCCTCAGAGCAGAGGCCCACGGGTTAGCAAACCACTGGAGCAGTGGGAGGACCAGAAACGCCCATTCCAGGCAGGTGGCCATGGCAGACGCTGGCAACCAGTCATGGCACCCAATCCTTCCTGACCCGGACAGAGCTCCATTATCTTTCTCAAAGAGTGGCCTCCACCAACCAACTGAACCTATTTCCTGCACTCACCTAGACTCTCAACTCAAGAACTCATCCAGAGATTCAGCCTTCAGTGGGTGTCAGGATGGCACCCTGGATGCACTTATACTAACAACCTTATTGTGGAGGGGTATACAGCACTGCTGGGCAGAGCGGGGAGAATGACTCACTGAGGAGAGAACAGATACGGATGTAGCAGCTCCTCCCGTTCTCTGTGGGATATTCAATGAATGAGCGAATGTTCATTCATTTGTCCAATTATTTGAGTACCTACTATACTTATGGGGCTGTGTACTGGGCTTGAGCAATGTAGTAACCAACTGGACAGGTCCTCCCCATAGAGGCAGGAGAGGCGATCATAAACCAAAAATAAACATTTTTAATGTGATTAAAGTACTCTGATAACAATTACTGAAAACTACACCAATAAGGTCTAAGTGAATTCTGGCAGCTTTGGGGTTTATAGACAGCCAGAGTGAATCTTAAAGTGAAGCCCGGCTCAGCAGAGTGAATGTAGGAGCAACACCCGCAGGAGCAGGTTCTAGAGGTAGGTGGCCCTGTCTCTGTTTTTGGTTCTTTCCTGCCAGCACTTTCTCACCCACTTCCAGTAACAAACGGGACCTGCAGTGGGAATGTGGCTGAAGATGGCCACTCATGACACCCGTCCCTCAGCTACAGTAATTGGTCCAGGTATGGACATGCGACCAAACACCACCACCAGTCACAGCAGCCCACTTCTTAGCCTGGCCACAGTGATTGGTTCAGGTGTGGTCAGGGGACCCGAGCAGGGCCGATACAGAATTGTCCTAACTGGAGGTGGTGGGAAGGTTGCTTTTCCACCCTCTCCTGTGTCTAGAGCTATTGGTAGCCCGATATTGAGGCCAATAAGCAGAGGAGGAGAAATGAGAGGTGGAAGGGAGGTAGGAAGGTAGGGGAGTAGGAGAGGGACTACTGCTGTGTTCTGACCCCACTGCCTCCCAGTCCTGGGGCCCAGGAGCTGCTCTGCCTCTCCCTTTCTTCATTGTAGCTACCTGAGTGAATAAATCCCCCATTTTACCCCAATTAAGATAAACTCTGGTTTCTGTGTGGCCAAAAATATCCCAACTGCAGACCTGGGGACTGTTTCCCTCTTCATGGATTGTGTGAAACTCAGAGGGGAAGGCTGTCCCCAGAACTCATTCTCCCCTAGGGCGCTTGCTGGACTGGAGAATAAAAGAACCCCCAGACGCATCTCCATGTGCCCCTCCCCATTAACTTCCCGCTGAATCAGGGCTCACCCCTCCCACCCTCTTCCTGCTTGCCTCCACCTCAACTTCATTCCCAGCACACACCCACCTCTCCCACCCGGTTCTGCACCATGGACAGCGTGAAGCTTGTCCTGGCCTCTGCTCTGATGCCTGCCACGTTATATTTGTAATGATTTGTTGATGCCTGTTCCCCCCCATGAGCGGGAACCTTGAGCATGGGGACCTGGGTCTCACTTATCTTTCCACCCCCAGCTGCTGGCACACAACAGGGAGGCAGCAAGCATGGGAAGGAGGGAGGCAGGGGAGGAAGAAAGAAGGAAGGAAAGGGAAGAACATAATTCCCATTTATTCTGGTCCAACCAATGAGTCACACAGAAGGTCAAGTTTTGTACTGGTTTTCTCTGTTCCAATGTCCCGTTCCTGACTCCTTCCCTTTTCTATGTTTCTTTCTTACTCTCTTTCACACCTTCCACTACCATCAGTGCTTCTCTATGCTCCATCTACTTTATTTACTATCTCTCAATGAAAGGTCACCTCCAGGTGGGTAGCCATCTTTGTTTTGTTCTCTGCCGTATCCTCAGTACCTAGAACTCTGCCTGTCACCCAGTAGATGCTCAATAAATATCTTTGGGGTGCCTATGTGAATCCTTTGTGTTCACCAAAACCACAGTTCTACCAAGCTTGTTTCTTAGAAGACCTAGGCACTGCATACATTTTATAGGTGTTGTGAAAATCAGTGATGAATTCATTTCCTGTTTCTGCAACAGATGACAGTGAGCCTTGAACAACATGGGCTTAAACAGCATGGGTCCACTTATACACTTTTTCCCCAATAAGTACCTGTAGTGTTTCGATCTGTGGTTGGGCGTCCACAGACGCAGAGGGCTGACTCTAGGCATGGATCTACGTAGCTTTATATGCAGGACTTGAACACCTGCAGACTGTGGTATCCGTGGGAGGTCCTGGAACCAATCCCCCGAGGACACCGAGGGACAACTAAGTTTTGGGGAGTCCGAGTTATACACAGATTTTTGACTGAGAGGGAGGTTATGCCCCTAACACCTACATTGTTCCAGTGTCAACTATACTACAAACTAAGGGGCTTAAACAACAAAAACTTATTATTTCACAGTTCTGGAGACTGGGAGTCCAAAATCTGGCAGGCCGACGCTCCCCTCAGGGGCTTCAGGGGAAAATCTGTTCCCCGCCTCTTCTAGCTTCTGGCGGCTCCGATATCCTTGTGGCCGCACTGCTCCAGTCTCTGTCCCTGTCCCTGTCTCCCTATATTTTTCTCTCCATGTCTGTCTCTGCTTCTTCTGTCTTATAAAAGTGCACGTGAGGTTGCATGTAGTGCCCTGGGTAATTATCCTGGATAATTCAGGATAAGCAGCTCCTCTCGAGACCCTTAACTTAGTCCCATCTTTGCCGTACAAGGCAATGCTCGCAGGTTCGGGGGACTGGGAAATGGGCATATCTTCTCCCCCTGAGGACCACCATGTAGCCCACTGCAAGTCATTTGCACAAAGACCAGAAAAGCAAAGATTTCCACCGCCACTCCATTGGCCTGACAGGTAATGTGATGAAAAGAGTAGTATTTGGGGGGGTTATTTTGCCCCAGTCAGAGTGTGGAAATGCTTTTTAAAATACCATTTTATGTTTTTTAAATATCCTAATTTTAAAAAATAATAGCATGCTTATGATGAGAAAAACAGTGCAGAAGAGTAAACTGTGGGAAATAAAGGAGCCTCTTTGCAATTTTTCTTGAACTCCAGCTGCACTTTCTAAAAAGTAACCGCTGTAGGCAAGTCTGCATAACCTTCATAAATTTTCTAAACATATTCACATGCATACACGTTATTTCTCATAACAGTAAGAAAATTAGGGAGTGTTACAATGTATCCTGAAGACAGGACAGCCCTCCCACCCACTTCATTCTTTCTAGTGACTTCTAGCGATGTGCCTACTCCCTTGTCCCTCACTGGCCGGCGTCTCGCTTCAGCTCTAGATTTTGCCGTTATATCATATATGCTCTTGGGCATGCGTCTGAAAGTATTCATAGGGCACATTGTGAGAAGTGGAGCCTCTCAATCAGAGGATATGTGCGTTTTTAATTTCTACAGTTATTGCCTAGGGCCCTTCCAAAAGGTGGTATCGTCCCACACCCAGCAACAGTGCCCGTGTGAGGGTGCCCGTATCCAGCCCCCTCGCACCCCCTGGCAAGGACGCAGTGTGTCAGGGGAAGCGAACCAGCCCCAAATGAGGTAAGTAGACTTTCCACATGGGCCTGGGTGGGGGTGGACTCAGCCTCCGAGGTCACCCCTGACGATTTCTGAGGCGATGAGCTGTTCAGAGTGCTGGTTAGCTTGGGCTTTACAAACGCAGGCTGAGTCTAGGGAGGTGAGCCAGGACCATGCAGCGAGAAGCGTTGTGTAACCCACTATTTATTTCTTTAGTACAGTTAGAATTTAAATATGGTCAAAACACATTTCCTTTTTAATTTACACAAACAAATATGTTCCCGGGCTGACACCTCCGGTGCCAAGTTTCTAGGGGAAATGAAATTCTACTGAGATTATAAACCACTAGAGAGAAGAGGAGAAGGGAAAAGCCGCAGCAAGTTAGCTCTACGCATCCCGGTCTGAGCTGCTAAGAGGTGTCGCTTTCTGTCTTAGTTGCAGATAAACCTGCCAGGAATTTCAGCGAATGAAATGCGGACTGTGTAAAGGCCAGAGGACAGAAAACGCTCCACTTTTGATGAAAGGAGGTCTGCTCGGCTTCGAATCCTCCCTCCTGCTGGTCAGGAGACGCAAGGATATATCCAGAGGAGCTGATGAATTGAGGGGAAAAAAACAAGGCCACTGTGAGTTGCCTTTCAAGTGCTGTGCTGATATAAAAACCAAACAACTTGAAACTGTTCCAAGAGGGGATTAAAGCAACATGTTATTGTGAGTGATTGCTTAATTTATTGAGCTGTGGCAAGATCTGTAATGAAATACAGCTCTTGCAACTGATAACCTCCTGCTGCAATTGAACTTGACAATTAAGGAATATTTTCCAAGGATTTTTCTGGAACAGCTTAGGATTTTTCGTCTCCATGGTGGGGTGCTTCTCAGCACTCATTTTTGCAGGCAAGCTTTTTTTTTTTTTTTAAAGAATGAAAGGCTGACATTAATGAGGAAATAGTGGCATTTTATTGAATGCCTTGTGGGCCCAGGCACTTAATATACATTATTTCTAACCCTGACAACAACCCAATGAAGTAACTCTTATTAGTCCCTATTTTAAAGATACAGGGTTTCTAGGTGTTAAGTAATTTTCCACAGTGATGTTGTCCAAGTCAGTAGCCATTAGCCACTTGTGGCTACTTACGTCTAAATTAGTTAAAAATTGAAAAATTCACTTCCTAGGTTGCAGTAGTGACTAGTTCAAGTGCCCACTCACTTGTGTGGCTACTGGGTACCACACTGGACAGTGCAGATGTAGGCCGTTTGGATGCCTGGAAAGTCCTAGTGATCAGCATTGTCCCAGATTTTGTAGGTAGAAACTGGCAGTGCTAGAATTCAAACCAGAGCCAATGAGCTTCGAAGGCAGCACTATTCTGTCATTACCCCTTCTTTCTTCGCTTCCTCGGGCTGAGAGGTAAGCACTAGAGCTGTGACTGTAAACCCTGGCTGCACATTCAAATTACCTGAACTGCTTTAAAAAAATATTGATGGATCTCCTGGCCCTGGACATTCTTTGGTTCGTAGCCCAGCACTCAATCCACCAAGCCACACCAGCCAGGGCTGGAGATTCGGACTTAGCTGTGATTTGGGGGTGCGGAGGCAGGCATGAGGGGTTTTTATAATTCCTGATGTGGACAGCCAGGATTGAGAGCAGCTAGATGAGAGGGTCCACACAGTATGGTGGAAAGAACTGGTCCATCTGCCATGAGGATGCGGTCCCTTGCGGACCCAGACGTGGCCTTCCACCAGGGCCACATCCAAGCCTTTCATCAGACACTCAGTTTCATTTCTGAAGGATAGACTTAAGTGCTCTCTCACATGATTCCTGCTTGATGGGAGGCACAGTGAGGAGCTCTGCTTTCAGAACCAGGGCTTGTCACACTGTGGTGGAGGGAGGAGATGGGGATGTAGGATTGTGGAGACAAAGTGGAGCCCACAGCCCCAAATTTGGATTGGGAGCATCAGGATGAACTCATGCTATAATTTGTCTTACAGAATAAAGCATGTGTTTCCTAGCTCCATCCACAGAAAAAGTTAGACATGATTAACAGTTCAGCAGCAGTGAGCACCGCCAGCACTCAGATTAGGGTCTCTAAACACCACTTCTATGAGAAATCAGGGCTCTGTGCAGATACAGCTAATTCCAGGTCTGAGGGAGGACATGTGCCAGACGGGCCAAAACATCTGTCACTCAGGTAGCATGGAAGCTCTCAAAGCTTCCTGGGTTCATGTCAGAAAAGATGAAGAGGACAGTGTGATAGGATAGGTGGCCAGAGACAGGACAGTTTGAGCATCAAGAAGAGTAACTGTGCTGGACTGAAGTGTGTATATATGTCTAAATCTATGAGTGCGCAACGATCCTTAGGAAAAAATCATAAACTCATTTGTCATCTTCAGAGGATGTTCAGAAACCAACTCATTCTTGAAAACTGTCAAAGGAAAGAATCTAGCATTTCTCCTTTCTGGAAGTTTCTTTTTATAGAAGTATTCCAGCTAACCAACCAAGACAGAAGGACAGAATTTATTTGACACCATTTTGCAGCCTCTAACGGACCCAGATGGTGGTCGCCACCGCCATGGCCAAGCCCTGTGTGCCTTCAAGTAGAAACACAAAACAGCCCCTTGGAAGTCATCGTGGAAACACACACACACTAACCAGGCGTTAGTCTGAGGATCTTATAGCTCTACCTCATGTTTTTCAAGCGATAGAAGGGGGAGATAAACGTGTATCACACCACTATGGTGACGCAAGAAGCAAAATCCAGTCTGTAGGACACTCGACAGAACAAGCAACCCAGTTCCTCAACAAAGGCATTGCAAGGGAAGAAAAAAGGAGGGCAAGAGCCTCCAGATTGAGAAAGAGACATGTCAACCAATCCCAATGAGTGAAACTTGTATGGATCCTAATTCTAACCAACTGCAGAGAAAACAATTATGAGACAATCAAAGAACTTTGAACACTCGCTAGCTGTTTGCTGACATTAAAGCATCACTGTTAGTTTTAGTAGGGGTGATAGTAAAGTCATATACTAAGATATTTGCAAAAGAAATGATTGCTGTCTTGATTTTGATTTTGCTTCTAAATACCTGAGATGACGGAGGAGGGGAAGGGTTACCGATGGAAGAGGACTAGCTGAGAGTTGGTGTTTATTAAAGTTGGGTGATGGGGAACTGGGGTTCATTATACCTTACACTCTATTTTTGTGTATGCTTAAAGTTTTTCATAATAAAAATAAATTAAAAAGTGAAGACCAGCCTTTTCCTTCCCTTCTCTCAAGGGTATTGGAAAGGTCTGCCCACCCACTGCTGGCATCTTTGAGGCAAACCTGTGTAGCAGATTCGCGACACACCTCGGCACGCACGTGTGCGCACACACCCCGCCTCCCCTGTCTCCAGGGCAACCAGTGAGGTGAGACAGCAGCACCCAAAAGGTTCCTGTTCTCATAAGGATCAAGCCAGGCTGCCGGTGCTGTGCCAGGCCCAGCACAGCTGCTCCCTTCAGTCCTAGTCGGTTCTTCACAGGGGGCCGCCCCCACCAGATCTGCCTACTTGCACTCCCTGCCTCATCCCCTTTGCTGCACCTATGCTCCCCCTGAGGAAATAGAGGCCCAGTAGTGGAGAGAACAGGACCCTGAATCAGATCCAGTTTCCAACTCTGACTTTGTCACTTAACAGCAGGACATTTAACCATCCTGAGCCTCATTTTTCTCATCTGTAAAATGGACACAGTGTGACCCCAACAAACTCAATAAATATTATAGGCAGGGGAGGGACAGTGGCAAAAAGGACCTAATCGCTACCACGTGGAACTAGACTCTGAGAAGTGAAAGGCAATCTCAACAGTGCAAGTGCCATGGTAAAGCACAGGTTATAACATTTGAGAGGTAAGGGTGTTGAGTCAAGCCCTTTTTTTTTTTAACTGGCAGCCTCTACTTGGGAAATACCATCCCTCTCAATCATACTCTTCATTAACCAGAAAATCCACACTTTCCAACTACTGATTATCTAGCTATGTGAACACAGGGTAATTTTAGTTAACTTAGCGCTTACATTTCCATGTGGTAAATACTATTATCCCCACTTTGTGGAGGAGGAAAGCAAGCCTGGAGAGGCGGAGCCCTGTGCATGGCCACACCGTGGGTGCCTGGGCCCCGTCTTCTCCAATGGGCCCTCCGTGCTGATTCAGCTTCGCAGTGCACCTGCCGGGCCAGGAAATCGGAGAGGTGAGGAGGCCAACAAGCTCTCCAGGTCACACTACACTTTACAAATGAGAAAACAGTGGCCCAGAGAGGCCAAGCAACTTGTCCTGGGCCACACCGTGAATTAGCTGCTAAGCCTGCATCGAGCTTGCTTGAGGAGATGAAGGGAAGCTGCGTGCAGTGAGGGGAGCTGACTCTTACCGCCCCATTTAATCCTGTCCCCGAGTGTGGTGACCGACCATCCCAGGCTGTGCTGGGGCCAGGGACTTAGGAGGTAAACCCGGGAAAGTCCTGGGCTAACCAGGATGCGCTGGTCACACCGTCTCACAGTGAGGTGTCTAAATAGATGTTTTCCAGGACACGAGGCCCTGGGATGAAGCTGGCCGAGGAGAACCACCACCAGGGCCCCGTGGAAGTGCGTGGTTTCACACCTGTGGTCCTCGGGGTTCCACCCACGTGTCATCCCAGGGGCCTCTGAAGCGGTCCGTCACCAGCATCCCTCCTTACAGCCCTCCAGTCTGTTTCCCCACCCAATGTCTAGAGTGCTCTTCCTGAACTGGAAATCTGTTTAGGCTTGTTAATCTGGGCCCCATGCCCCAGTTTACAAGCCTAAAAGTTTCTCATTTTTCTCATTGCTTTAGGACAAGCCCTAAATTTTGTAGGCCCAGGAGGCCCCCCTGGTGGGCCGGCCCAGTCCAGCTGTCCAGCCTCCCTCTCGGACCCACCCTACTGCTATGATATTCCAAGCAGGACCAGGATGGCCAGAGACCTTCTGACCTTACCCTCCCCTACCCACATACCCTTTTCCTGGCGTCCCACCCTTCCTCAGAATCAGCACAGTTGTAATCGCATAGCTATCTGTACAATCCACTGATTATTAATATCTAGTCTCCCCCGCCCCTGGCTAGACTGCCAGCCCACAAGGATGGTGCGTGTGGCTCACTTCTGTTGCACATACCCTGACTCAGTGAGCAGACACACGAATGGTTCTCAGTAAACTGTCATCTCATGGACCAACCAATGCCACCATCACCTCTGGCCAGGCCTCCATGCGAAATTACAGAAAGCCTTAACAGCCACCCCGGCCTCCAGTTTCATTTCAGACAGGCTGGTATCCATGATGTCACGTGACAGACGATGATCCCAAAAAAAGACTAGCCGAGAGGCTCCTGGAAGGAGCTGTGGCAGCCAGGAGCGGGCGTGTTTTTCCCTTAATTATTATACCTGTCTGTACACTCTTTCTTGGCTCTGTTCACATTCCTACCCCAGCACCCGCACAGGAAAAAAACAAAACGGAACAAAACATTAGCCCCAGAATTTGAGACAAGATAACTGGCTAGTTTCCTCCCTGCTTGTAATTAACGCTGAAAACATTCATGACTCGCCCTGGCCGCAAAGGTAACAATAAAACCGTGCAGCCTGATCACTTGGCTACTAATTACCTTCTTGGTTTTCCTTCCCCTTCCCTTAGATTAATTCCAGAGTTCCTCCAGATTTCTTGTTGCTAAGCTATAAAGTTCCAGGTCCCATAGCGCCCACGCCGATTGGCAGGGAGCTCCTGGGCAGCTCCAATCACACGCAGACTGCTGGAAGGAGCATCCACATAGCAGCTTGCCCCGGGGGGTTCTGGAATTTTCTCGCTGACGTGATGAACCGCAAAGATCTTTGTCTAACTCTGAAAAACCTGTTTTCTTGATCGTGGCTGCCTCTGTCTGGATTGCAGATTGTCAGCGAGTGCCAGGGTTCCTGGAGAGCCCCCTGGAATAATAAGGTGTCCCGGGGTTACCTGGTCGGGGTCAGCGACACAACTGCCCTGGACCCATTCTTGGTTGACCACGGACTACAGCGTGATGCCCCACCAGACTGGAGGCGGCCGAGGAAAAGTGGAGGCCAGAGAGTGTGGGGTTCTGGTGGTGGGGACCACACTTGCAAAGGACTTTAAAACCCGTGGATGGAGGGCCTTCTGGCATTTCGGCTCCAGAGGTCCGATGCAAACAGCCCCCCTGCACTGAGCTCCCACCGTGCACCACAAGCCTTATTTTTATGTTCCAGGCCACTCTGTTGAGGTATGATTGACTTCCAAAACTGCATATGTTTAATGTATAGAACTTGATGAGTTTGGACATACGCATACAACAAAATCTATGCCATAAACATACCCCTCACCTCCCAAAGTTTCCTCTTGCCTTCTTTGTTCATCTTATTTCTTGTGAGGAGAACATTTAACGCACCATCTACCCTCTCAGTAAAATTTTGAGTCCATAACATACTGCGAACTATCATCACATGCTGTACATTAGATCCCCAACTTCCCTTGTGTAGAGGAAACCTTGTGCCCCTCAGCCAGTGCCTCCCTCCTCCCAGCCCCTGGCAACTCCCCATCTTAGTCTCCAGTTCTATGAAAGTAACTGTTTGAGGTGCCTCACAATAAGTGGAATCATGCAGTAACTATACTCTCCTTCCGTGTCTGGCTTATTTTACTCAGCATAATGTCAACCAGGTTCATCCATGTGCTCACATATAGAGTTTTCTTCTTTTTATAGCTGAATAATATTTTATTGTATGTGTGTAGCATGCTTTCTTTGTCCATTCATCTGCCATTGGATATTTAGGTTACTTCCGTGTCTTGGCTGTTTTGCCATAAACTTTACATACACATCTCCTGCCACCCTGAAACCCCCCTTGGGCAGACCAAGAATGTGACGGAAGTCTCCTGGCCTTGACTGGACTGCTTCCACCCAAGTCCCTAACAGGGAGCTGTGCCACAGGTGAAAGTTATGTGACCCAGGCCTGGCTACAGCGGTTGGCTCTGGGGTGGGCACAAGACCAAGCTGGGCCAATCAGAATCTTCCTTGGACAGTCTTTACTGCCAGAACTATAGGAAAAGACACCCCCCACCTGCTGATGGATTTGCTGAGCTGTCGACCACTGTGGAACAGAGGCACCTGAGGGACATATGAAGCCTCTGTGATAATATTTGATCCCCAGACGCAGCCCAGGGAAGTCAGATCTACTCCCTAGATTTTAGTTACAGAAACGGTAAATTCTTTGTCTGTTAAAGCCTAATTGTCTCGTGTGTCCCCACGTGTAACTGACAGGGTGTGGTACACACAGGCATTTTCTCCGCATGGTGCCTGGCTCTGGGTTGGGCAAATGGCATACATTCCCATGCAGGGTCTTCACAGTCACCTGGTGAGGTATTCCATGTTGCAGATGGGGAAACTGAGGCTCAGAGGGGTGAGGGAGTCTTGCCCAGATAACACTGTGCTCAGGGATTCAAACCTGGGCTGTCTAATTCTTAGATGTCTTGGTGGTCCCTCAAATTCAACGTGTTGAAACTTGAATCCAAGAGCCTCCCCTCCAACATGATTTTCCTCCCAGGACCCCATCTCAGGGGCAACCTCCCCTTCAGTCTGGAGGTGCTTGCTGGAAACTCCATGTCCTTCCTGATCCCTTCCTGACACCCCCAAGGGTCATGAAGTCCTGTCCACTGACCTTCTGGAAGCAGCTTACTTCCTTCCCCGTTCACGTCACCACCCCTGCCCAAGCCACCCTCGTTTCCCCAAATCCGAGCCCTTAAAAATTGCCACCCCCCTGGTTCTTCCATATCCATCCTTCCCCTCTCTTCTAATATGACTTCCTTGGGCATCCAGAGGAATTTCCCCAAAATGCCAATCTGATCATATATTCTTGCTAGGAGAGGCTGGGTTTGATGATCTGATGATGCACATTTGCCTCTGGGGATGTCAGAGAACCACGCAACCCTCTGGTCCTACCTGACTTCTGAGCACTGAGTGTTAAAGCCCAGGAGCAGGCAGGACACAGCTCCCCGCACCCATCCGGCTGGGACATCATTTATTCCACGAAGAATTTCTAGCCCTCCCAGGCACGGTTCTCTGGGCGGGACTCCAGAGGTGACCAGCGGGAACCTGAGCGGGCTTCGCATCCACTACCTCGCTCACTCCTCCGGCAGCCCCATGAAGCTGTCACCTCTGTTATTGACCCCA